CAGTTGTTGTTGTACCACGCGTAATTCAAGGATGAAGTCATCAGCGATCCCACATGGCGAGATGTTCCAAATGAATACACAGGACTTTGCGCGTTCTGTCATGTTGTGCAACGGCAGGTCGCCAACGACATGATTGCAATTATTCTGCCAGGGCTGATCACGCGTATGTACATGAGGTGCCAACAGCGCATAGCAGAGCGGAGCGACTACGACGAATTTGGTACAATCCAATGTGCCGTCATCGTTACAAGCTGGCAACAGCATGATAAGCGGAGACAGACCATGCAGGTCTCATGCTCGGCCACAGACACTGCTGACTCTTTCCGTACCGTGAGGAGGGCCATCGACGAGTCTAGAGACGGGAGGGCTAGACGATCTGCCTTGATTCCTCATTTGACCGGTGTCCGTCCGCTGGCAAATGTGTGAGCGTCGCCGAGACGGGATGCCTCGCTCTCCGCCCGCCATCATCTGACCTCAGCTGTCGCGTCTACGAAAATCGTTATCACAGGAGTGCATCTGATGCCATTCGGGACATGATGCGATGGTGGACGTCTAGTCTGAGCACAAGGCCTCTCAGCGGCGTGAACTGGTCCAATACAAAGTTGTACTCACAGCAGATCAAGACGAAGATGGTCCGGTCCCGCCTGGAGATTTGCGGCGACTTTACAACCGTTGGTCCGCTACATGTCTAGGTCTACAGTGAAACATCATTAGCACGACGAAATCACATTCCTAGCCTCTTTGTGCTGCCGAGATCACTTGTTACGTAGGTGGCAGAGACGCCTGCCTGACGTGGTCCTCACATCGATCATTGTATGATCGAATAGCTAGCACATCTGCGCATCAGCATCTGAGCAAATCTGGTGAGACTCGATCCATGAAGTCCACAGCACAGCATATGTGTCGCTGCATTATCTTGTGATTACTGACAAGTACGACATGAACGTCAAGGCGGAACTCGCTTGAGCTAACTGGTACGTACCAGCCACTGTAGATCCCCTCTCCACATCGAATCTGCCTTTACGCAATAGAACGCGCTTGCAAGATTCATCGGGAGCGTCGCGGAGTAGGATCGATAGTGGGGATCTCCGAGTGATCATGAAATCGCCTCAGCCACCGCCGATGTGGCGTATCCATCATCCATAATCGCGGCAGGTGGACACCTTGTGAGCTTTCATCCAATGCGAGACACAGTCAGTGTCGACGCTCACACACGCGTGGTGATCAGACTAACCTATCACTCCGTGTCCTCTGTTCACAGAGGTGTGGACATGGAACCCCGGGGTATTGGAGACCAAGGACGGTCGAATGAGGTCTCGCAGTATATGTGTGAGCCGACGACAACGAAGCATTCAGAACGTACAAGTATTTGTTGATTGTCCTCAACAGTAAACCGACGGCAAGTGACATTGGCTTTGCGAGACTCTTTTCCGTGCTCACTATGTAAGCATCTTCATTCTTCATCACGAGCAAGGCTCATCATGTACCACCACGACACGAGCTGATGTTGCAAAGTGATACAAATGAGTTCGATGGCCTCACGCACACTGGAGTTTAGGCAACCCACAGGTTGGAGCCAGGGGCCATGTGCTCATTGCAGTCACGAGCTATAAGTGATGAAGTATTAACCATGCATGTGCACAAAGTCCATATTGATTCATATTAATTGAGCACGTAGATGTAGGGAGCGCCACAGAAGCCCGCAAGGAACGGCACTGGTCAAATTTGCAGTTGTGAGGACGAGTAGTCGCAGTCGACGGTCAAAACGTTGAGGCTAGCTGAGAAGGAGTGGGACGCCTTGAAAGGCGACCGCACGGAAGTTGAGGTAGTTTTAAGTTGAAGGTGCAGACTCAGACACGGGCGTGACGTGTCGTGTCTTCGTGCACCGTGACAGAGCACGTGCCAGAACGCGATTTGTCACATGGGGTGAAGCCATCGGTACAGCATGAGGCCGCCATACGAGTGCACCGCGGAGAACAAATCCCAAATTGTTAGGCAATGTCTGGCATGCTCTTTCAGGGTGGGTGAGCAGAAGTATAATCCCTTGCTGATCATGATCCTGCTGTGTGTTACAAGATGGCAGTGTCATGAAATCCGGAAGACCAGGGCTTGGGCATGCAGGTACGCAGGCATGTGGTCGAGCAGGTGAGCGGGCGGCGTCCGGGCATGTGGATGGTGGGCGGGTGTACAAGCAACAGGTGGGCATACAGGTGACGGTCGTGCGTCGGGTGGGCGTGCTGGCCGGTGACGTACAGGCAGCAGGGCTGGTGGCGTACAGGTGGATGATAGACAGGCATACAGACAGGTACGCGCATCCCACGCATGCGCACGCAGAAGAGCATGTATGAGAACATATGTGTGCAGATGACCAACTGCGAAAAGTCCAGCTTTCCTGGTCCAGTCCGCGCTCTTGGAGCTCAGAGCGCATGAGCGCCGTCCTGCTCGGACGTGATTTTGACTGGGTACAAGCGTTCACGGGATTTCTAACTACGAGCTATCGTACAATCATGAGACACAGAAATAATACCAGACTAGAGTCGGGATGATCATAATGACAGATAATAATAGTGATCATTCGTCGAGGGTCAAATCAATGACATCTTCATGATCAATGCTCATGTGGGTCCGTGTAGACCCCCGCTTTGTGCGGTGTGACGCTGTGGCCACCCGCGTATCAACAATATTAGGTTTGACTTCTTCAAGCGATGGCCGTCTCGAGTCCCTCTTTTGGCGCTTCTGTACGCGCAAATCGCCATCAATTTGTGAAGAGCGAATCCGTTTCTTGCTTTCTGAGGGGTTGGATGCATGATTGCCGATGGCATCCAATACATGGCCTTGAGCACGTAACAGATCTGGACATGGCGAGTTGAGCCTCCTCAATCCAATAGAGGATATACCCTGACCTATAGATCGGTAGCGAAAGACAAAGCGGGCAGCCCATGTCCCCCTTGGATCAAGCACCTTCAACTTAGTGCAGCGACGGGCACGACATCGTCTAGAGTCCCCTAGACTAGCGAGATGGTGAGGACTATAGAAGGTACATATTTCACTGACCAGAAACATACGTCACGCAATGGGAACCTGCTTTCTTGCTCTTCTCGTGGACTGGTCCGATCTCTTGCACGTTTCGCCCACGAACGTGGCCTTGATGTCCCGAGATGGCAGCCCGAGAGATCACCACCTCAATTGTTCCAAGCTTCTCGCTATCTGCATGTCCGCCCAGGATGCTATCATCGTCTGAAAGAACCGCTCAGAGATCACGGCCACAGCTAGGACAATGAGACTCATTACCGGTCGTCAGGAGTGGAGCAAACTGAAACAGCCTCCGCTCGTCAAGAGAGGTCCTTACGCCCCAGCGGAGGCCGCTATCACCCTTGCGAAGCGTCGTGCAACCCATGAGGCGTCCGTCTATGTAGGTGCTCACTGAGTGGCAGTCGCGCCTCGAGGGCTGAATGTCCTGCCATCGAACCTCGAAGTTCTAACAGGAAACGGTAGTCATGAGTAGTGCAAGACAGTATATATGATATTCACGATACCTTTCCAGCTTCACTGGGAACATAGCCCTCAATGGTCTTCTCATGCTCCTGGACTTCTATCCCATATTCTGGCAACGCCTTGCCTTGGCACGATATGAAGACATTGAAGCCTAATAGCTGCATCCCTCCAGGACACGAGAAGTATAAGATATCTTGATGCCGAGAACAGTTACCACTGTGTAGACTTTCGCTATGGGCAAGATTGAGAGGTGCTTGCACCTGGGTGGGACAGGTAGCCGCCTTGCAGGCGCCTGCAGAGTCCAGACGCGTGCCGCAACGCGGATCACGTGCATTGCGCGTCGCGACACTTGTGCGCGATCCGCCAAAGTGGCACCGTGCCACTCTCGTCGCTCTCGACCACACACGTCCAAGATGCATCATAAGAGATGGGATACCCTAGTCTACATCGACGGAGATCCCGCTGAAGAACACCACTTCCGCTTCGAGAACGAAAACACTGTGTCCTGTTACATCGCCAGTGAAGCCGGCAAGGTCTGCATTTGTGGCGCTTCGTGATGTTCGTGCTAGATCTAACGGCCACTCTGGCTTATAGAGATTCTCCGTACAATGGCGAAGCGACCTATCCATGACAGCGTCTGTCAACTGCTTCATGGACGGAGTGTGTATGGGTGGTTCGAAAACCGACCCAGGGCGCAATGGCTCTCGATGGTACGTCAAAACAGACGACAATATTCGGTATCCTTTCATGTTTGCACCTCTCGTTCTCACCGGTACGTCTTTGATTATATTTACGGTGCACGTATCTCATCCTAGTATGGCGTAGATGACGACGGGATAGCGGACCCAGATGACGTGAGTGCGGAGAGCATAGGCATCATCGAGGTGGCGGTGCACCGAGTCAGGTTCTCCGGATATCCATGGAGACATACACCCAAACCGAGACCGATGCCTGCAGACCGTGCGCCGGTCCATGAGCGAAGTAAGAAGGCGGGAGCGCACTGTGTCTCGTAAGTGTTCCTAGCGTATCGTAGCCGTTCTTCTAGACTGATAATAAGACAGTCTCGGAGACGGCTTCAAAGGCGCCGACCCCCCTTATGCAGGACAACCGTCTCCTCGGGTCATATACATCGACCCACCTGCAGATCCTTACATCAGATTCATCTTCTACTACAAGCCACGCGAGGTGCTGCAGGCTGACGGCATCATGCCCCTGAACCCTCCCCCTCGCCCCAGAGCCTATATCGTGCCAAAACGAGAGCCGAGTGCGACACCGGCTCTGTACGCGAATGATTCCGACGATGAAGGTAGAGAAGTCGAAGTGAGCACCTCATCAGACACATGCACATGGCTGTTTCCTCAACAACTTCGCAGTCACTTCTCCGCTATCGCGAGCACACCATAGCACCCTCTGTGAAGTCAGGCCCGTCCATCCGTAGGGTCATTGATCTGGACGCCAAGGTGATAGACCTCACCATTCTGGACGACTAATATTAGGCCTTCTCTCCGCCCAGCATGGTCCACATGCGGTCCCAGGCATCATCGTTCAATCGCATCCTCACGCAGTCGGACCATTTGTGACTATCATTTTGCATTATCATTACACCCCTTTGATTGTCCTTGCTGTATTGGATTTTTGTATGTACTATAGGTTGTCTATCAATGTTGTAATGAAGAAATGGATGTTCCATGCGCAGCTGCAAATTCGGGTCAGAAATCACACTGATAACCATCTCGAACGGACCAGAGACGGAAATACTCTTATTGAATGCGTAGTATATGTACCATTGCCTACTTTCACATGAACGAGCAAGGAGCAAGAATAAAAGCGGGTTGATAGACGCTTTAGTACAGCTTGGAGAGGGGACACGACGGCACGGGAGAAAGGAGCGGGCACCGGTATGATGTCGAACGCAGCTGCTTCGAGGGGGCGCAGGCGACGGCGGGGTGTATTATTAAACTGGCACGGACATGGGCGCAAGCTGTCGAACCTAGCATGAAGGAGCTCTATCAGAACGATGGAACGACAAACGTGAACAATGTCCACGAGTTGAACTAATAGATAGGACAAGCGAACACAACAGAACGGGGAGGCGGGAATTAAATAGAGTAGTAGACCTGGCACGCTAAGTAGTACACGCAGACATTGATAGGACAGTGCGGTGGTACAGATGGGTTCGATGAGGAGGAAGTGCAGAGCGAGCGGGCAGGTGGCGTGCGGGCGAGCAGTTGAAACGAAATAGAGGCGTATACAGCATCATGATGACGTACGCGCATTGCGTCGAGTCCGTGGGCATGTGCGTGGTCGTCGTTTGTGAATCACCGTCTCCCTCTTGCGGCTACGCGCCACTATGATCCCTTCCCCTATTGTTGGCTCCGCTGTCTACCAGCCTGTCGCAAGCACGGCATCCGGCCTGCCTCCGCGCAATACCGCATTCCGCACTGTCACCGCACCGTCCGTCTTGTCCTCCGCCTCTACACCTGCACCCGTATCATACCCGCACCAAGACGCAGCCGCCAAGACCGAAAGAGAACCAAAGAGAGACGAGGAAAGGGAAAGAGCGTATGTGACGGACCGGGCGCAAGAAGAAGAGAAGTACTGACAAGTGCAGCCTCAGCCCATCTTGCTCGCATCCTTCTTCTTCTGTTTGCGCGGCGGTGTTACCGGCCGCCCCATGTTGACGCCACCATATGGATACTTCGCCTTCTTCTCGGCGGGTTTCAGTATCTGCGGTACAATCCAGGGTTAGGAATGTGCATGCGGAACCGGATGAAGAGGTGGATCAATGCCGTTCATCGGCATGACGCACCTGGAAGGAGCACAATAATGTCTCGTCCACACTCATCATGGCACCCGCGTTATCGAATTCGCCGCAATAGTTGGGTGCAGAGAATAGCGTCACCAGGTGTCGCTTCGCGAAGAATTCGTAGCCATCCTCGACGACCTGCAGGGTAATAGGTATTTGCGGGCTCACACAATAGTGCAGGACGGTGATATCATTGACCGTACCTGATGCGCTCGGCAGATGAGGTCCATGTCATGTTTCTGCAAGAACCTCGAGACCACGTCCGGTCCGAAGGTAAATGACACTCCTCGGTCGTTCTCTGACCAGCCTGTGATATCTTTGTCGGGGTCTGACCATAGGAGATCGCACAGCAAACCTGAGGCGCATATGTCAGCATTCGGCCAAGCTTGCCCGACGAGGTAACACATACCCGTATCGGGGACATCCGTGGGGCGCATAACTCTTCGAATCTGCTCCATGGACTGCAAGTCTGGCGACAAACCACCATGCATTGTGAAAATCTTCTCATCGATGATGGCCGCGATGGGCAGGCAATTGAAACAATCCGTGAATGTCTTCCACAGTTTGATGTTGTAACGGCGCTTGCCTGCCATTTGCGAGTTCGAAATGTCCGGTTCAAGGAGCCAGATGCACAGGTTCGAGTCATTCAACGAGGTATGGCAGAGCCAAATACGCACATTCATCGTAGAATCCGTAGATTCGGTTGATACTCGCACATTCGTGATTGCCCCTCAAGACAAAGAAGTTCTCGGGGTACTTGATCTTGTATGCCAGCAGCAAACAGATTGTCTCTAGTGACTGCTTGCCGCGGTCGACGTAGTCTCCGAGGAACAAATAATTTGCTTCTGGTGGGAATCCGCCGTACTCGAACAGTCGCAGCAGGTCATAGTATTGCCCGTGAATGTCGCCTGTCAATGCGCATATGCTAGTAGTCAAGCCGACCGCTGGCGGAGTAAGGATCTAAAAGCGCACCGCATATCTTGATGGGGGCCTCCAGCTCGAGTAAAATGGGCTGGTTGATAAAAATCTCGCGAGCTTTTGTGCAAAGATACTTGATCTCGTACTCCTGGAGCTGGACAGGCTTGCCCGGACGGTTCCCGCGCACTGCGGAGGGGACGCGTCGGGTGAGCGGACCCGGCTCGGACGAGGACAGCAAAGGCCGCTCACCTTCCAAAAGCCTGTCAATGACTGAGTCGAGGTCGATCTCCGTCGCAGAATCCGCCATAGCTTGAGTGTGTCAGATGCAGTCGTGGAACGAGTTCGTGAGCGCGGACGTCGCTGGCCGTGAAGTCGGGTGTTTTGTACGAGACTTTGGATGTTTTGTGGCGAACACGGGGAGGCTAGTAAGACAAGGGGAGAAGGAGAGGTGAGCGGTGAGACGAGCGACGGTGATCAGCCGGCTGCAACACCAGAGAAAGCGAAATTTGAGAGTTGAAGCGTACAGATAACGACCTCGGATGATGTGACTGTCCCCGCGCCACCCTCGACGGCTCACTCCGCAGTCGGAGCTTGAATAACTTCTTGTTCTGGACTTGTCTCTTCTCTCCTTGTTCTAGGCCTCCCGCAGTTTTGTTTTTCGTTTTCTCTCTCCCGCCTGACGTTGGTACTACATAGTCGTCTGGGCCGTGCGGGCTGTGTCGTTGCTAGCGACGCTCACACCCCACTCGCCGGGCCCCCCCGGTTGCAATGCGCCTAATCCGTCACCAGTTAAAAAACAAAGTGCACAAGAATTTAGCCCGCAGCCTGATCTCGCGCTTCTCCAGATTGTCACGACTTTAGCAGAAGCGTGCGTCTGACGTTTCATTTCGCTGGCATTCATGGGCCTTACGAGAAGAAGCTATGGTCTCGTCGACCACCCTCATCCTGCGGAATTCAATGTAGATGGTCGAACTAGCGCACACCGCTGCGAGGCAGGATTCCGACTCCACTATTCTTCATACAATGTGGCAGGCGACGTGAAGAAGAACGCGCTCACAATTCAGCCTGCCAATTGCGCATGGCCACGCGCTGGTCCAGCGACGTTGTCGTTCACAGAAGCCTTGCATTTTGATACCAATTCTGTTCGCTGACGTCCCTTGGGAAATTGGCCCCTCGTTTCTCTCAGGACTTAGACGTCTTTCCGATTTTCCCCTTCGTTACACACTGTACTTGTCCTAGCGCATTCCACTTATATACACTTTGAGATCCATAGCTGTGAGCTTGCTCTATCCTGTTATACACCGAATACACACAACAGGCATTACAAATTGGTACAGTAATAGAAAGAGAGCCACTCCAAATAGATGAATGATGTACACGTGTGTATGAGTGTGGGGCCAAAAATGAGGTCGATGGAATGGGTGGGTATCTGCGGATGAGGGTCATGAAGGCAGACAGGCTGCACAAGGGAGGAGACAATCAATGGAGGTGCACGACGCGAGAAACGCAACGGCGGGGCAGATGAAGCACAATGCAAATGAACAGCTTCAGCACAACATGCCAATATCATGACAAGGACACAGTTGCTTCTGACTGCCGCCCAGGATTCCGGGCTGCATCCGAGGTACTGGCTCCGCCGGCGCGTGCCCTTCGTCGACGCCGCCTGTGATGCACCAGTCAGTTGAGGCGATGACACAGCGAAGGACAATTCCCACCTGGGGAACATGGGTCCCTTTGGCATAGGCCGCTCGTCTAGGTCGAGCGAGATGTTCGTCGCGGCTTGGATGCTCTGACCGTATTCCATCAACATCACAGAACAGAACCGGCCCCGCAACGACAGCGTACCTCGATCCAGTCAATGACGGAAGCAACATCCTGCGCCTGCAAAAGAAACTGCTCCCCCTCCATCCGCACCCGGATGACGTTCTTCCGCTTCGAGTAGTCGCTCGCGAGCCCGCTCTCCGCGTTCTGGAGCGTGTACCCCTTGATCAGGTCCTTCGGAGACGGCTCCGGCGCCGTCTTCGCAGAGCCCGGCGGAGAGTCAGACGTCGCTGACGAGCTCGAGCTCGGCAGGATGCGCGAGCGCGAGAAGAACGACGACGAGCTGTCGCTGGCGGGCGGCGAGCTTGCCGACGTTGACCGCGAGTTCGACGTCGAATGGTGCGCCGAATTCCGCGACGAGCGGTCGTCCATCGACGACCGCGCCACGATGGAGATTGTCGAGTGGTCGTCAGGCGGTTGTGTGTCCACGCTGGGCCGCGACCGCGACACCGACGGGTTGCTCAGGCGGCTCGTGGGCGACGTAACACTCTGAGCGCCGTTGGATTGCCCGTGCTTATGCGAGTGGGCCGCCCGAGACGGATGCAGCAATGTCACAGCAGCTATGTGGAGTTTTGAGCGTGTGGGTGGAGGCGCCGCCGGCGGGGGATTGCTCTCGGTCTCGGGTGCATCTGCGGGTGGAGTTGGGTCCTCCTCCGTCTTCCCCGGCCGATCTCCGTCTGGCACACGTCCGCGCACCGCGCTCACGCGGATCCCCGACTGCGTGACGGCAGTGCCGCCCGTAACCGTGATATCGCCCACGCCGACTTTGCGCTCCCACCACTCCTCGATCGCGCTCACGCCCGACGCGCCCGGCGGGCACTTGTACACGCTGAACGCAGTGCCCTCGAGCACGCACAGCACGCGCCGCCACTTGCGGTCGCGTGCCTGGACGCCTGGCGCGATGAACTCCATCTTGCGCGGCATCACCGCCGTGAGATAGATCGAGTTCGAATACGACGGCAGCCGCTCCTTCCCCTCCTCGTCGCGCGGCTGTATGGCGGGCCCGCCGCCCCGCGGATGAAACGACGGGTACGGCGGCGGGTCCGATGATATCTTGTATATGGGGAGCGATCGCTGGCGCCGCAGCGTGGGGGATGCAGGCGTGCTATCGTCTGGGACGGCGCCCTGCGGATCCTCGTCTATCGTAGGAGGTCCGGGTAGCGCCTTGCTCCTGCGCCGCTCTGCAGTCGTCTCGGGCCCGATCGATGGCGTCGCCATCTTGTCTTTCGCGCGTTTCGAGCTTGGGGAGAGCAGGTCGATCATGCTGCGGGACCCGAGTTGATACAGGCCTGGCCGCGACGAGCCTGCGGGCATGGGCACAAGCTGCGGTCCATTCCCCGGCACCAGCGTGCGCAGCGACGGGTTTGCGAAGTAGTCGGCGGGGCGGGGCGTGCGCGAGGGAGAATGGCTGCGGTCGATGTCCCTATCAGCCCGCTTGGAGGTGAAGTAATCCGTGGCGGCCGAAGACGACGATCCCGGGCGGCGCGCTGCAGCCGTGGGTAGCGCTGCAGCCTGTGGTGTGAAGTAGATCGTCTCCCGGTTCTGCTCGGTTCCTGCCGTCATGCGCGAAGACCCATCCTGCATCCCCGCTGGACGATCTCCACGTGATCGAGGAGTCGCGGGCGAAGAAGCCGTGTAGGAGGTATCTTCGGTGTCCTCTTCGTCGCTAGCTCCTCCGTCCGTCTCGCGGACGCCCGGACTGGCGTCTGCGTACTCTTCGCCTTCCTCCTCCTCTTCCTCTTCGTCAAGTATCCCGTTCTCGTGGTCTGCTTCTCGCTCGCTTTCGCTCGGCCCGCGCATCGGCAGCGCAGGAATGCTCCGCAGAGGCGCCTGCTGGCGAGGCCGCGTCGGGTTTTGAGAGGGGGTCATTGGAGGCAGAGTGGGCAGATTGAGGATAGGCATGGGCGGTTGGCGGGGACCGACGGAAGGCGTGAGCCGTGCGCTGCCCTTGGCGGTGAAGCTTGCCATCATAGGAGGGGGCAACGTCGCGAGGCGGGGCGCTAGGTCGCGTCGATCAGATAGACTGCGCGACAACTCACCCAGCGACTGGGGGGGACGAGGACTAGACGAGGGGCTCGCACCCGGAGTTGTGGAGACTGATGCCGTAGCGCTGAGCGAGACCGTGCGCACAGGAAGCGCCTGCGAAGCTTCTAGCCGCGGTTCGCTAGTAGGGTCTGTCGAAACAGAGGATGCACCCTTGATTGTGAGAGAGTCGAGCTCCTCCGGCAATGACAATTGCTCGTTCCGCTTCCCAGTATGCGCAGGCAATTGTGTCGGGGCCAGCGGCACGTTAGCCGTGGCATCCCGCGGCACCTGAACGATCCCATCCTGCGAGAGCGAGTCCCTAAGGGCAAAGTCTGATGTAGCCCTTGCATGTTGAATGCCCATTGGCGCAGGTTGTGAGCCGGACACGATAGCCTCCTTGTGAGAACGCAGGTCTGGTCCATTCTCGTCACTAGTGGTGGGGGACGGGGAGCCCGACGCCCTGTCTATGTGAACGGTGGGGTGTTGATTGTTGAGCATCGCAAGATCCTTCGCTGTGAAGTCCATGGAGCGCGCACTGCGCTCGTACGCTGCAAGCTGTTCATGATCCCCGCTCTTGCGCCGAGCGCTGCGGATATTGGAGACCTTTCTGAGGAACTGGCCCGTGCGAACCTGTAGGATTTTGTGAGAAGCCGGGTGCGAGTTCAGACGAAGTACTTGCCAAGAATTGGGAAGGTCTCACATCTGCAACGGAGTGGCTCCGCGGGGGATCCTGCACCGCAAGTTCCGTTCGGCTGAGCGACATACGTCGTGAATGATGGTCGTCAAGTTCGTTGCAGATTGAGAAGGCAGTAGCGAGAAGAATCAAGAACAAGCCTCGATAGGGTTCACTTGGAAAATGGCATGGAGCGCACCCGCAGTGACGACCTCAAGACTGACGATGTGGGACTGGAACACACCGGGTGGAGAGGAGAATGGCAGGCCGAGCGGCGCGGGTCGGACTTGATTACGCTTCTGACTGATGCGTCTCTATGTTTAGCCGGCGTCTTCCTCGACCCTGCGTCCGAAATCTCGCTCCAAACCAAAGGTCAGCAACGGAACGCCTCGGGGACGCTGCGACGTCAGAGCTCAGAGGGGCGACGCGTGCCTCTTTGCGCCGTCTCTATGGTCGAATCGGAACGAGCATCATCAACGCGGATGTGAAGTCATATACGTCACGTGACGCGAACTGCGCTGCTCGGCAGCATCATCTGGGGAATTCGGCTGTCTGTTGCACGAAGGCGATATCTGCTCAAAGGGCTGTGTTGCGTACACGACGGTGGTTCCCTGAGATATTGGTATCTGTTACTCACTTTTATTTTGTCGTTTGCAAGGGGCAGGCAAGAATATATAGCGCGCTCGCCAAATATACACATAGCTTGTGCAGTACAGCAAGGGCGGCTGCTAAAAGTGCGTGAAACAGTGACGATCTCGAAGGCTACCGACAAATGGACAACCTACCTCAGGGTTAATTGTCCACGAGCACCTCCGAACAACGTCAAAAAGTGCTGGGTCTCCCAGAATCAATGTCATGGTTTCAGCCACAGTGTTTTTCGACACGGTTTGAAATTCAGTCCTCACCCATAATACAGCTGACCATCCTTATGTTATCTCAGGGTATACATCCAGTGCATCCCGATAGATGTGACGCGCATATAGTTGCTTGTGCAAGGTCTGCGGGACCATAGTTGTTCCGTTCCCGCGCGAGTCAGCGTGTATAATGAATATATGCATCCTTGTAAAAATGTGGTTGCGTACTATATTTATTGTTTCTGCTTCGTTCTCTGTGGCACGTTATATACTTGAATATGGAAAATCGGAAAGGCGAGCTTGTGCATCGCGTCGCGTCGCGGTAAATGACGTCACGCGACGCGTGACGAGACGCCAATTGTCACAGTGAGATCTCGAACCTCGGATGATGATGATGACTTCAGCATTTATATACCGCTACAAGCAAACACAATGGTGCTAAGACGCGGTGGGCTCTGCCGGATGGCAGTGCCCCTGTTGTGGTGGTGCCTACAGGGTAAGGAAGGAAGATGATGTAGTAATTTACGGATTTCGGTGTAATAGGCAACGGTGTGGGGCAGCATAGGGTGTCAATGTAGAGAGCGAGTCCGTGGGTGACAATGACACAAGAAAAAGTTCACATCCTCCGCTACCCTCGATCGCTTCCTCCGGCGGTCTACCTGTCTTGAAGTCCTGGAACCACCAGCGCACCGGGCTCGTCGTGTCAGTCGCAACGAGGGAATTCCGGGTTTTGCTGTCAAGCATTCTCGAGGCCTGTGGAGGTGGCGGGTGATGGTGTTAGTGGGAAATGAACCCGGCAAGGGCCTTGCCGTGGATTTCGAGGTGCTGTCTTCACAGATAGCGAGCGCAACGGCTGGACATGGCTAGAGACCGGCCGACGGTGAGCCTCAGATGGCGGTGGGATGGCATCAATGGGATGGATGCATCGCGACTCGGTCGGATGCAACCGTGGCGACGGGATTCAGCGTTCAGTGTTCTGGCCGGCTCGACATTGCGAGACGACGGGCGGCGGCTGCGACGGGGAGCTGTCGACTTGAGGAACCAAGGCAAGAGCGAGAGTGCATTGAAGACTCTCTGTGCGGTGCCTGGTATCCTTCCTTGGCCCAGCAAGAAAGCGTGGGAAAACTCGACCAGGTGGTGGTACGAGTCCAAGGAGCTCTTCTCGAACCTCGGAAGTAGTTGCATTGCATCGTTATAATATCAAGAAAAACAGCAACCTCCACTGCCAAATTTTTAGAACACCCATACAAAACTTGCGTCCGTGCATAATTAGACCGGTAGAGGGAGGGAAAACAAGCCGGCTTGTAAGTTTGCAGCTCTAACTCACACGCAATACAGCATTGGATGAGTTATTCTACAAGTCTACATTCCGTCCTGGGTCCCTCTATTCGCTCTACTATTGAACCGACATGTTTTGGTCTTTCCCAGATTTACCGCTAATAGCCGTTAATCTACAAATCCCTGCCGTGCCCCAATGGTTGAGCCACGCTGGTAGAATGGGGTTATTAACAATAACTTACATACGACGTGGACAAACCGGAGGGCGCTCGCTTCTGAGCCGAGCTGAAGGCCCTTCAGGACTTGCTGGCTCAATGTCTGCCGCCCTTCCGGTTATCCTGATGCGATGAAGGTACACATACAAGTTACAAGAGAATCATGTCATACTGACAATGCCAGTACCGCGTCCAGGTATATGCCAAGTTGTACTGAAGTCACGTTGAAGAATCGTGACTCGACGTGAAGCGTACATACACATTAGTGGATGAGGCTCTGTCAAAGTGGATCGGTCAAGCAGCAAGCACGGAGTCGATCAGTTTTACTTGAATTAATCTCCCTGATGGACAGCACTATGGCTATAAAATACTCAGCGCCACATTTTGTCTATGCTCCCATTCGGCGGTCTCGGGTCCCCTGAACACATGCCATACATGCTAGTGGAGCGAAGGCGTGAGCCATGGTGGCACCGACAGTCCTGGAGGCTATCTAGGCGTTTTAGAACACCTGTGATGGTGGTCACCTTTCTCAAAGCTGCATGTACCACCAAAAAGGCTACAGCTATCTGGCGCGCTCGTCGGGGTATAAAGATGCTGCTGTGCAGCAGCATAAGCCCAACGTCTCCAGCTCAATCAGACCTCGGTACTGACAAGTTGGTCGCGCCATATCCACATCTTCGCAATCTCCATCTCGATATGTACCTGGCAACTTTTTGCGTCGTGGTATTGCTGAGGGCGGGTGCAGGCCGTGCTCAGAATACTAGTGTGATATCGACATGCCAGGAGATTGCCAATGCCATTTCCTCCGCGTCGTCCGTCTATCATCCCCGTATGTGTTTCTCGCCTGCCCAAGCTTCGCATGATGGTGACAGCCGCCCTATAGCGAGCCTCTCATACAAATCGGACATATATCACTATGCTACCTCAAGCACCGAGAATGCCACTTGCTCCGTGGAACCAGGCACCGCCGAGAACGTTGGCATAATAGTGCGCTTTTCACATTTTCGCTGAGAGAAAACACGACCGAGCACTTCCTTGCATGCAGCTTCAAATCCTAGGCGCGAACCAGGCGCCATTTGCGGTGCGCTACGATCATCAGATCCATATAGACCCTGGATTGACGCAGATGAGCACAGGTCAAAGGCGGTGGGCATGCGATGAACCCTGGATATTCGTCCACGACGGGCGTGCAGATTTCCATGACCAGATTCCACAGCGTCGTTAACGATGCGTCTACGAGCACAG